TAACACCCACTTTTCACTATTTATGTTATGAGTCCCATGTAATAGGGGGTGAGCCTATTGCCATATACCGGGCACAATTCCAGACTCCGTGCTACTACTGCTACTGATTTTTTTAAAAACCCCAGTATTACTTTGCCCGACCCGGGAACCCGAAACCCCTTGCCCGGTAGTCGGACTTGCGACCACTCCACCAACGACGCAGTTACAAATAGATTGTTTCTTTAATACTACGAATATGTATTGTGTAGAAGTGACGTAGCGAACTCCTCATACTATCTGCTTAACTTTATAATTCGTTTTATCTAACTTTTATATCGACAAACAAGTCAGCTATACTAATATTATAAAGAGGAAAGATTTGTATTTTTGTATGTTTGTAATGAATAAACTCAAAAACTACTGGACCGATTGCAATAATTTTCACCATTAGAAAGCTGTATCATTCAGAAGTAACATAGGCTATATAATATCACGCTAGGTTCTATAGTTGTGGAGCAGTAGCCAAAAATGTTTTAAAAACGGGGGAAAAGTATCGTTTCTGAGGCCTTCCGTGGCGTGCGCTGAGCATATAGTTAAAGTTATACAAAAATGCTCTATAGTTTATAGTTTACCCATAACAATCGTTTTAATGAATGGTTCAAGAAAAATATTTTCAAAAGGCAAATACTTCCTAAATAAAAAAAAAACTGAGAATAAATATAAATAAAACGTAAAACTATGTAAAAAATCTTAAGGCCCCCCGTGCGAAGCCGGGACGGGCCGCTAGTATTGAATAAACCAACACTTCTACTTTTTTGAAGTTGATAAAATATATGTCCATACAATACAATACCTACGTATAACCTCGCGCCTGTCTCCCTTTGTTGTAGGTAGAGATTATGGAACGCCAATAGGGTAGATGCCTAATTTTTATTTTAATTTCCGTCTGGTAGATTATTTTAAATCATTAGACATGTATTTTTATTTTCTTACAGAAACGAATACTTCCGACGATATATTGATTTGAAATGGCGCGTGACGTCACTTCTATGTACATTTTATACGTAGAAGTGACGTTTTAGCCTCCACTCCTAAACTTTGATTCGTTTTATCTAAGTATTGTTTTATTATACGACAAAAAAAATTCGTTTCTAATATTTTTTCATTACCTAACTGACGGACTAATTAGATTTTTAATTTTCATACCCTGTCATCATCCCTATTGCCACGATTCTTACTTCTCTTTCACTCATGCATGCTCTTCGGTTAAGTGTACTTTTTTTTTATTTGGTCCTTCTTTAATATATCCTATCAAAAAAGGGGGCAATCGACGACAGTTCAAAGACGACATTACGACGACGACATTACCACTTCCTAAAGACATTTAGGTCGACATAACCTATAACCCTGTATATAAAATAACATAATATGAAAAGTGGGTGTTACATTGTACAGTGGCATAATGTGCACCTCTGCCTACCCCTTCGGGGATAAAAGGCGTGATGTTACGTTATGATGTTTTAATATCTCGTCTACGGCGTGGGCATCCCCATCGTCAGATATTTACGATTTAATATCAATCGTTTACATTTTATTTTAAAGTAGATACTATATCTAATTCGATACCTAATTTTTCATACTTATTGATTATCATTGTCAGTCAAGTCATAATAACAAAACGTCATTCTTTTAAATCCCCTAAACTATAGTAAGAAGTTTATCTTATGACACCCATTTTTTACTATTTAGGTTATGAGCCCCATGTAATAGGGGATGAGACTATTGCCAAAAAAAAAAGTCAAAGCATTTATTTCAATGAAACCATAATTTGGTACTTTTGAAACGTCAACAAATAAATACAAAATAAATAATAGTCTGTCAGTCAGTCCGTCAGTGAAGCTAGGTGAAGCTAGGTGCTCATTACAAAATGTAGATTCGAATGGGGAAGAACGAGCAAGAAACTTCATTCGTTACTCTTTTAAAAAAGTATGTTCTACAATGTCTCTGATACATATTCCAATACTGTACGCATATGTAAGAACAATGCAAAGACACGCTTGACACATTATACTAATTACAAACCTTACTAAAATAAAAAAATCTTATAGTCTACATAGATTATCATTTTTTTACATAATTATACCGGGCAAAATTCCAAACTCCGTGCTACTACTGAGTATTAAAAAACCCAGTAATACTTTGCCCGACCCGGGAATCGAACCCGAAACCCGTTGCCCGGCAGTCGCACCTGCGACCACTCGACCAAACACAAGAAAGTATATACAAGCTCTGTAGAGAGATTTTCACTTACCATCAATCACGCGGTGCGAGCAGCTTGGACGGCAGCACTGAATGTTGCTGGTCACTCATTCACGCTGGTGGCGCCACCACTAATTAGTTTAGCACTATATCTGTGTCTCACTTACTCAGTCGCCGTCCGGTCGCCAGTGCTATTTCTTCGACGTCTTGGTACTGTCACAGTGCCATACAGAGACCAGAGTCCTCACGACTGGTTTTAGTATGACATCTCCTGCAATGTGGAGCAATGAGGGAGACATGTTGTTGTTATGAATAACTTTAATTAAGTATCTTAATTACTAACTTACACTACTTACTTATACACCGTTAAATTTTAGTCGTTTTAATCCCATAGACCTGTGGTTTAACTAACAGAATACTACTCATTACAAGCTTGTACTGCGGTGTAACATAAAAAATAAATAAATTAGCAAATGATAAGATTATACTCGCAAAATATATGAAACCAAAAGTTGCGCCACGAGATAGTTACCTACGTCGTCGTCGGTCGGGCAGTGTAGGTACCTACACGGCGGCTATTGACTCGATCAACTGATGTTTGCGAGTCCACGTTGACCAGCGACCGCGTCAATGTTGTTAGGTTGTTACTGATAGGAATGCTGCCTACTAACGGTTCGCATTATTTATTCACTCATGCGAGAAACGATTCGAGTTATTACAAAAAAGTACTTTATTTTTTAATTTTATCTTTACAAATCGATAGTGTTTCATGGACCAGTTCGAACCTCCAAGGGATTAAAACGATTTAAATTTAACGGTGTAGAACGAGGTGTCACATACACTACACTTTTTTGGTAGCTGATGATGTCTCGGTGAAATATGTCCCAAAAGTCTTCAACAGCAGTTAAAATCCCTTGGTCTTCTCTTACAGCTTTGCCAGAAGACCATGAACTAATGAAGGTAGACCCTGGTCCTCGGTACCAGTATATGTCAAGCCCGGAAGGAACTGAGCTGGTGGACCTTGCGTGGAAGCCGAGCGATCTGTTAGAAGCTGCCAAGTACAACGTTGAAACCCAGGTGTTCTTCCATCTTTTCACCAGGTATGTTAAATTTGTGGATGCAAGCTACTTCTGCTTGGCTTCTATTAATCGTAGCGTGATGTTTTATAGCCTATAGCCCTTTACGAGCCTTTTTCTATTAGTCGTGGTGGTTCGGAGGTTTCAGACGCCCGCTTCTCATGCATGAGAGTGCGGGATTTTTTTAAAGGGGGGAAAATCATCGAATGATTGCTCCCGCCTGGGTGAGGCGGGAGGGAGTGTCAGATTCTTATGGACTAAAAACCACCCCGTTCCTTCTCCTGCACGTCGAGCCGAAGCCCCGGTTACCCGTTAGGTTCTCGAAACCTATCAATTGGCAAGTACCAATGTGACTTGTTCCGAGTTATACATATGTACTTTCTAAGATTATCTAGACACCACTGACAAACCGCCAACCCGCATTGAGCAAACGTGGTGATTAATGCTCAAACCTTCTTCGTTTGAGAAGAGGCCTTGGCTCAACAGTGGACATTTATAGGCTGTTTATGATGATGATGATGATGAACCTTTCTCGATAAGTGGACTATCCAACACAAAAAGAATTATTCAAATCGAATCACATAAGCTATTCAGTATCTGTTTAAACTTTCGAAGTGTAGACGATGGTGGTCCGCCATGTCATTTGACGTAGCGAGTTACTTCAAACAATGACGGGGGGGGGGAGGGGTGGAATGCGATTGACCTCACTGTGAAAGTTCGAATTGACAGATACTGAATAACATAGCAGAAGTGACCAACCGATCGCGTATACAGTACTAAAAAAAATTTCCGAAAATTTAACAATAAATAAATAATCTCAACTTTATACTTAATATATAAAGGTGAAGTTTGATTGTTTGTTTGAACGCGGTCCAAATTCTTCAATTCCAGTTCGGTTTAAATTGAATTAACTTTTTGTGTTTAATAGTCTATTTATCAAGGAAGGCTATAGAACAGCGGTCGTCACACTTTACTGGCCAAGGGCCACCCATAACAATGTGAGCACCAGGGCCCGGGCCGCAGTATATGCGAAGGCGTTTCAAGAGCTAAGGCTTATCTTTAGTAGTCCATACTATTCATATAAATGCGAAAGTGTACTTATGTGTCTGTGTTATTTCTATACTCGAAAAACACTAAACCAACTTAGGTACATGAAATTTGATACGGATTTAGTTTGAATAATTGGGAATATAATAATTATAATATACTAGCGACCCGCCCCGGCTTCACACGGGTGCAATATGCATGTATTATACATACAAACCTTCCTTAAGAATCACTCTATCTATTAAAAAAAACCGCATCAAAGTCCGTTGCGTAGTTTTAAAGATCTAAGCATACATACGGACATACAGCGAAAGCGACTTTGTTTTATACTATGTATGTATTGATTCTCAATCAGCTCATTTAATTATTCACTTCGCTCTAGCTGTGCCCGCGGCGCCTCGTCGATCTTATGAGAGTTGATTGATGTCAAAAAAGTACTCGTTTATAATTTACTCATTACAAAATTTATTTGACAATTCAACTTAAAAAATAACTGCTTTATAATTAGGAATTATGGCGTTGATTTTTTTTAATTATTTCTTGAATATTGGCTGCGCATGGCATACCCGCAATCAATCGCCCGCGTATGTCTATGTACCTACGAGCGAGCGTGTGCAGAGTCTATCATATCATTAGTAATCGTCTCCGGATTCGAACACAAAGTCGGATTTTGATTTTGTTTATGATTATGGCATAAGTATCGGTAGTAACTATAGGTATACCTAAAAAACCTATGTAGTGGACAATTAATTAATGAAATCTACTATATCGCGGGCCGCACAAATAACGCGTGCGGGCCGCAGTTTGACGACCACGGCTATAGAATATCAATTGGAGCCGAGCAGCGAGTTCAACCACTTGGATATATAAAAAAATACAAATTATTTTTGACCATCGATGTTGTTTTGTTTGACAGGGCTAATCCTACAGTAAGTCAGCCATTACTCCTAGGAGTACCACACATCCTGGCCGCTTCCAACTTCGACCCTTCGAAGAAGACGGTTGTCATAGCCCACGGATGGAGAAACACACCTCTGCACGATTTTAATGTTTATCTAGTTCATGGTAAGAGGTATTGATATTAACACATAACATAACATCACGCCTTTTATCCCCAAAGGGTAGGCAAAGGTGCACATTACGGCACTTAATGCCACTGTACAATGTAACACCCACTTTTCACTATTTATTTAATTAATAGTGAAAAGTGGGTGTTACATTGTACAGTAGCCTAAAGTGCCGTAATGTATACCTCTACCTACCCCTTCGGGGATAAAAGGCGTGATGTTATGTTATTTTATGTTTTGTTTTCGCCGGATTCAAGCAATAACATTCTGTCCTCCACTGTGCCTACTAAAGCGACTTCTTCTTTATTTCCAGCATACCTGCAGGCTGAGGATATAAACATGATCATGGTGGATTGGAGCATAGGAGCCGGCGCCTTGTACATCGTGGCCATAGCCAATAACATCCGAACAGGTACGGTCATCACTATTATCAACAGTCCAATACAGCCGACTAAAGGCTTTGTCTACATATATATATATACTCTTGAATCCAATTCCGATCGATCGACATTGGTATTGTGAAATTTCGTACTCTTGAGTTGCAACACTAGCGCCCATTGCATCCATATTGCGTGGATATTGAATGAACTAAATGGTATTGAGTTTGGCTTTATATTCCGTACTCTGAATGCTATTGTAACAGCTAAGATTGTGGTTGTATAGTATTAAAATTGAATAATAGGGTAGATGAGTAATTTTTTTTCTATGTCAGTCTGGTAGATTGTTTTAAATCATCAGACACGTATTTTTTATTTTCTTACAGAAACAAATACTTTCGACGATATATTAATTTGAAATGTCGCGTGACGTCAATTGTATGTAGGTACATTTTATACGTAGAAATGACGTTTTAGCCCCCACTCCTAAACTTTGATTCGTTTTATCTAAGTATTGTTTTATCATACAAAAAAATAAAAAAAATCGTATATTTTTTCATTACCTAACTTACAGACTAATTAGATTTTTAATTTTCGTACCCTGTGTTCCCTACTATTGAGATTTTACTGGACTGAATTTTTTTTTGTTCTTTAAAAAAACGTTACTAGGATTAGTACACTAGGATTTTCTCCTGTATCGTGGGTACGTTTACAAACATACAAGTTCACATACACAATGACACCCAGACCCGAAACAACAATTTGTGGATCACTCAAAGTCACACACCGCGACACGTTGTACGGCAGCCGGTTGCCCAGCCACTGCACCAACCGTGCAGTGCAACATTGAATATTAAATATTGACTAGACACAGGTCTAATATCAAATATTGACACCCAGACCCGGAACAACAATCTGTGGATCACACAAGGAGTTGTTCCGAACGGGAATCGAACCCGCGACACGTTGCTCGGCAGCCAGTTGTCCAGCCACCTTAATTTATGTTATGAGTCCCATGTAATAGGGGGTGAGCCTATTGGCATATACCGGGCACAATTCCAGGCTCCGTGCTACTACTGAGATTTTTTTTAAACTCAGTAATATTTTGCCTGATCCGGGCATCGAACCCGACACCCCTTGCCCGGCAGTCGCACTTGCACTTGCGACCACTCGGCCAACGAGGCAGGCTTTAGATATTATTTTCCTATTATATTCGAAGTAATTAAATGATTGTACCTATTGATTGAGAACTAATGATTGGTAGATACCTAATAGTGTAGCTAATTATTTACTTAGGTATCCATTTTAATAAGTACGAGAAAAACATCTCTATTATCGCGTTCCCGTGGCAAAAAGTAGCCTATGTGTTAATTCAGACCATAATCTACCCCTGTTTCAAAATTCATCCCGATAGCTTCAGCCGTTTTGATGTGATTCAGTAACAAACATATTTACTACTCACAAACGAAGTCATTTTAATCTAATTCTTCCACTCCTCAATTCCAGGTGAACATGTTGCGAAATTCATCACCTGGTTGAACTCGGAAACAGGAGCGTCTCTGGACAACTACCACCTCATCGGACACAGTCTGGGTGGACATCAAGTTGGAATCATTGGACGGAACCTGGGTGGAGAGGTTCCTTATATCACTTGTAAGTATATTTTTTATGGGTTTTTTTTGTAAGGGGGGATAATCATCGAATGACTGCTCTCGCCTGGGTGAGGCGGGAGGGAGTGTCAGACTCGTACTGACTAAAAGCCACCCCGTTCCTTCTCCTGCACGTCGAGCCGGAGCCCCGGTTACCCGTTAGGTTCTCCGCGACTTCGAATCGGCATCGGCCCTGTTGGGCCCCATCTGTGGTGGTCTGATGGCTCTTAGAGGCGCGCGTGGAACGCGACGCGCCGTACGCTCGGGTCTGTTTCTGGTCGGACGGGGAGTCATTTTTTATGGGATAAGTCAGCAAACAGTAGACAGATTATCTGATAGTAAGCAATCAACGCCAACCATGGAACACTAATATCAATATACCTAATATATAATAATACCATTTTTTTCCAATATAAACACAACCCTATTGTTTAATCTGAGTTCTAATTTTACGTCTGCAAAAAATCAAAGCAATCGGTTTAGTAGTTACGGCGTGAAAGCGGAACAAAAAAACAAACTCACTTTCCGATTTATAATATTAGTAAGGATTCAGGGATCGGGGAGGAAGGAAATTGGTACTCCAGTAACCTCACTCACACGACGAAACGCAACACAAGCTTTATTTCGTCGGTTTTCTGCTCGGCCGTGGTATCACTGCGGCCGAGACGAATGACGTCAGACCAAGTCATGTCCAACATTTTCTTGGCACCCTAAGCACCCTGAGTGCTTACTCTTGAAACCAATCTCAATGTCAATGCAATTTCAATCCAATAAAATCTCGATAATTATACAATGTCAAAACTATACAACCCCTATCGTACCTGTTAAAGTAGCATTCAGAGTACGGAATATAAAGCCAAACTCAATACCATTTAGTTCATTCAATATCCACGCAATATGGATGCAATGGGCGCTAGTGTTGCGACTCAAGAGTACGAAATTTCACAATGTCAATGTCAATCGATCGGAATTGGATTCAAGAGTAAGCCACCTGGTCGATGGACGCAAAGATGGTCACAAGCCATCGTGTGTAGACGGACAACATACATAATTTCACGTCTGTCTCCCATGGGGTTAGTAGACTATGGACTGCCAATTGGGATGTTGACAGGGTATGAAAATTAAAAATTTAATTAGTCCGTAAGTTAGGTAATGAAAGAATAATTGACATGTATGTAATACCCACTATTCACTATTTATGTTATGAGTCCCAAGTAAGCCTATTGTCATATACCGGGCACAATATCAGACTCCGTGCTACTACTGAGAATTTTTAAAAACTCAGTAATACTTTGCCCGACCCGGGAATCGAACCCAAGACCCCTTGCCCGGCAGTCACACTTGCGTCCACTCGGCCAACGAGGCAGTCGAAAGCCAAAAAATACGTGTTTAATATTATTATATTTCATTACTTAACTGACGGACTACATTTTTAATTCTCATACCCTGTCAACTACTGGTACTACCCCCCTCTACCTACCCCCAATCCTCAATTATCAGGATGGCGTATCTGATAATCTCATTCATACGTCTAAATTGATTGATTTGATTGAAATTGATTGCACAAAATAGTTCATTTCGGTTTTTCGAAAAATGTTATTCATCTTTTTCTTATTTTTGAAAATCACCCCTATTACATGGGATTCTTAATATAACTGTTGAATTATTGAATTGGTATCTTGAACACTTTAACCCTTATTGTGTGTCGCGGAGAACCTAACGGGTAACCGGGGCTCCGGCTCGACGTGCAGGAGAAGGAACGGGGTGGTTTTTAGTCAGTAAGAGTCTGACACTCCCTCCCGCCTCACCCAGGCGGGGGCAGTCATTCGATGATTTTCCCCCCTTAAAAAAAAAAAAAAAAACCCTTATTGTCTTTTTTTTTCTTTTATATAAGCTGCATCTTGCCTGGTGCTGAATAACTGATTTTTATTTCTTTCTTTGATCTCTGACATACTGATTCAGACTGCTTCGTGTAGTGCAAAGTATAACTGGGTTAAAAAATCTCAGTAGTAGCTCGCAATCTGTGTATTGTGCCCGGTACATGTCAATAGGCTCACCCCCTATTACGTGGGACTCGTAACATAAATAGTAAAAAGTGGGTGTTACATTGTACAATGGTATTAAGTGCCGTAATGTGCACTTCAGCATACCTCTTCGAGGATAAAAGGCGTGATGATTTTATGTCTGACTTTCTTCCTTCCAGGTGTATCTTCTACCTGGCTGAATCTCTAATAAGAGGTGGTTTCACTGGACAGCGATGTGACTCCTTGTGGCAAGCTCTCACTGGAAACTGTGCATCATCAGACACTCTGCCGATGGGAGGCACCACCGCTAAACCTGGGTAAGATATATATCAGTTCGCTAAACGAGCAGACGGATCACCTGATGGTAAGCAATCGGTGCTTGCGGTGATAAACTGCCGAAGCTGCAGTACAATACAATAAAATATTAAAAAATATTCATACATTCATTAATTTTATTTTTTTCTTTTACAAAAACATTGCCCCACAATAGGATTTTCTCCCATGTCGTGGGTGCGTTTACAAACATACAAGTTCACATACACATGACACCCAGACTCGGAACAACGATCTGTGGATCACACAAAGACTTGTTCCGTGCGGGAATCGAACCCGCGACACGTTGCGCGGCAGTCAGTTGCCCAACCACCGCGCCAACCGTGCAGTCCAATTGATTTTATGACCAACTTAACTTTTGTATTTTTCCAGCAAATTCTTAAGAAATAACTACGCTGTTTGACTCTGAAAAAAACGTGACGTCACAATACATAATCTCGTACAAAACTCATAGTAGTAGGGGAGCCCACGATGCTAAATTGGGATTTACTTGAGCGTCCTTGGGACCTACTGGATTTTGAAGATATGCTGATAGAAAGAAGAAATGGTTTAGTGACAATTTCTTCCACCAGTGGGGGAAGGGGGAATCTACAGATCTTAGAAATTGTTAAGCGTAACTTTTGTTCTAATGGTCGAGCGTGTCAGATATTGATAATGTACATGCTCCATGTGTATTTAATAATAAAAAACTCTTAATCTGCCAGTTTGCATGGTGGGGTTGAATGTTCTGGAGAGTACAAACGAGAACCCTTCAAAATCCCCCCACTCTTGCAAATCAAGTTGGAATGGGCAGATTTTTTAAACGCACTTCCTTTAGCACGGTATTGACCTACCTTCCCTTAATCTGACGAAACTGACTTTATTTAGTCAGACTTTTTTTTTAATTTTCAGTCCCCCCCTTCTAATCAGATCGGATATATGTTGGGTATATTCAACATGACACTAGGTTTTCCCCATATGTTAATCTGACGCGCTCGAGTAACTACCGAAATCCCTTCATGGGCTCCCCTACTATAGAGAACTGTCGTTATTGATAGGTCGAAAAAAGTATTGAATTTGACTAGTTGGCAAGTACCCAATTAGCATGCTCATTTCAGCAGCTGTAGCCAAATGCCATTCAGCGCTTGTCTACATGTAGAATAGAAAACCAAATTATATGGAATTGACGTAAATTTTGACACTTGTCAGTGTCATCCCCATACATTTAGTTTTCTACTCTCTCTGTAGACAAGCGCTAAAGTGGCGCTTGGCTAAAGGCACAGACTTGTTTTAGAAAATTTTTGAGCATGTTCAATAGAACGCCTTATAAAGTGTCCATGGGCGACGCCGATTGCTTACCATCAGGTGGTCCGTCTGCTCGTTTACCGGCTTATACCATAAAAAAATAACGTGCTATTTTATACAATTTAAACACTTATGTATTTAAATTATTATGTTTTCGGCTTACTTACATAGTAATTTGACGAGGAAAAACATAATAGTTTATTTAATATGTCTCACGAAAGTTACAATACAAACTTATATATTTGTAGAGCATATAAAGTAATATTGTGTATTTTGTTTTCATTTACAGAGCTACCGGGATATACTACTTGACAACAAACGCTCAATCACCATTCTCACAAGGCTAATTTAAATATTTATATTATAGTATTTAAGAAAAATACTGTTTTATTTTATTACTTGATTTATTTTACTTTTTTACCGATCTCAAAAAAAGAGGAGGTTCGACTTCTATCCTATCAGTGGGTAGGTTTTAACCCCTATGGGGTATGCAGTGCCACTGCACAATGTAAGATTAACTTTTCACTATTTATGTTATGAGTCCCATGTAATAGGGGGTGAGCCTATTGCCATATACCAGGCACAAATCCAGACTCTGGTCTGCTACTGAGATTAAAAAAAAACCAGTACAGGAATCGAAAGGCCCTTGGCCGAGACCCCTTGCCCGACGACGACCACTCGGCCAACGAGGAAGCATATTAGTAATAACAATTAACTTATTATTTGCCTTTTAATTTTCACATTTTGTTTATTTTTAATTTTTGTTTTTTTTTTTTTTAATTGTTTTTTGATGGAACAAGTCTGCCACAACCTCCCAAATTCTGTCTGATGGCTCCTTGAAGCGCACCGTATGCTTGAGTCTGGGTCTGATCAGACCGCGAGTCACCCGTGGTCGTTGTCCGCAGGCCCGTGCTTACGGTGGCCGGAGATCGTCTCACGATCCCTGACGCCCGAATTGTCTCTCGCATCAGCTGGTGCGTGAGAAGGTTCGTTTTCTCCGTCTCCTCCTTAGCTAGCATGATTGCTTCGCAGGAGGAGACTGCGTTCCAGTCCCTTTCGCTCCGTACTATGGTCTGAACCAGAGGTCTGATAGTCACCTTTTTTTTTTTGAGGGGGGAAAATCATCCAATGACTTCTCTTGTCTGGGTGAGGCGGGAGGGAGTGTCAGACTCTTACTGACTAAAAACCACCCCGTTCCTACTCGACTGCACTTCGAGCCGAAGCCCCAGCAACCTGTTAAGTCAGCCCTACTGGGCCCAATCTGTGGTAGTCTGATGGCTCCTTACGCTCGGTCCTGGTTCTGGTCGGGCAGCGAGTCACCCGTGCTCGCCGTCCACAGGCCCGTGCTTACGGTGGTCGTCTCGCGATCCCCGACGCGCGGAGTGTCTTTCGCGACGGCTAGGGCGTGAGGAGGTTCGTTCCCTCACGCGCTCCGCCTACTCCTTAGCTAGCATGACTGTTTCGCAGGAGGAGCCTCCTTCGCTCCGTACCATGGTCTGAACCAGAGGCTGATAGTCACCTGGATAACCTTTCCGCACACCTGCAGGTAGTTTTATCTTTGATACCCTACCATATCATTGATGAGCACGGCCGTACTTATGTCTAACGCTATAAAGTATGTTTTCGTAAAGCAAAGAATACACCAAGTGTTTGTGTATCAGAAAGAATTTGTTAATCTATTTTTAATCTTATTACTTAAAGGATAATTAATATTCTGTAACTAAGATAACATAACATAGAAATTATAGCAGCCGTGTAATGGAAGAGTAGAAACGTCTGTCTCCAAAATCAGAGTCAAGGGATTTATTTCAATCAAACCAGAAATTGGTACTTTTAAAACGTCAACGCAAGTGCATATGCTGGGCAAGGGGTCTCGGGTTCGATTCTCGAGGTGGGCAAAGTATGCCTGGGTTTTTTTTAAATCTCAGTCGTAGCATGGAGCCTGGAATTGTGCCTGTTACGTGACAATAGGTTAGTAAATAGTGTGTGTTACATTCTACAGTCAGTAGCATTATACATAGATATGTGTAATGTGCACCTCTGTCTACCTTTTCGGGGGTAAAAGGCGTGATGTAATGATAAGAAACGTCAACAAATATAAATTAAATACTAGTCCGTCAGTCTGTCCGCTAGTGACGCTTGGCCCTCGTTCCAAAATGTAAATTCGAATGGAGAAGAACGAGCAAGAAACTCCAATCCTACTCTTCACGCGGGTGTGTCACACCCAACAGCTAACTATAGGACTACTATATTTGACAGAGGCCGTAATGCTCTCTAAAAAACCGGACCCTTTTAAAAGCATAGCGTTAATGGCCAATGCTCCAATGTAAGGACGCCCAACGACAATGAGGTACAACTACTGAGTCCAGTAGTGAACTAAGCATTACTACTTGTAGTGAGTGCAAGAGAAGATATCTCGAGTTTTTTTTTAAATAATCTCTCATTTTTTTATAAGGGGGAAAATCATCGAATGGCTGCTCCCGCCTGGGTGAGGCGGGAGGTAGTGTCAGACTCTTACTGACTAAAAACCACCCCGTTCCTTCTCCTGCACTTCGAGCTGGAGCCCCGGTTACCCGTTAGGTTCTCCGCGACAAATAAACTCACACTAGGATTGTCTCCTGTCTCATGGATGCTTTTACAAACATACAAGTTCACATACACATGACACCCAGACCAGAAACAACAATTTGTGGATCACACAAAGAATTGCTCCGTGCGGGACTCGAACGATACGTTACGCGACAACTAGTTGCTCAGTCACCGCGCGAACAGTGCAGTCAAATCTCAAAATCAATCAAAATATCTCGAAATTAAACTCGAACAAAGTCACAGGCAATGCTAGTATACCTATAACCCAATTAGTAAGTGCTTAATCAGTCAAGGTAGATTAAAATATAAAGTAACTAGATTTCTTTCCGCGGATTCTCCTGCTTGACCAACGGCAATATAGTAGTTTTAAAGATATAGAAAGATCAGAAAGATATTGTAAACAATGCGTACAGTTGTCATGACAATAAGACGTCACCGCAGTCAATTTTTTATGAAATAGACGAGCAGACAGATCACCTAATGGTAAGCAATCGGCGTCGCCCATAGACACCTGTAACACCAGCACCACGCGGTACAAAGTCAAAGTCAAAGCATTTATTTCAATTAAACCATAATTTGGTACTTTTGAAACAATTATCCTCATCATTGTCATAGGGTAAGGCGCCCAAAAGACCGGCAGCATTGCCACGTTGTATGGCAATGTTTAACCTTTGAATTCGCCAACCCACATTGAGCAAGAGTGCTTCCTGCAAACCTTCTCCGTGTGAGAAGAGATCTTTGCTCAGCAGTGGCCACTTATAGACTGATAAGCCCCTAAATGTCGGCAATCACTAGTATCTCCTCTCGTGTTGCAGGTATCCAGGGCAGCGCCGATTGCTTACCACCATGTGATCTGTGTGCTCGTTTACCGAATTATCATCGTCATCATCAGTCTATAAGTGGCCACTGCTGAGCAAAGATCCCTTAATTATTAATCACCGCGCCTACTCAATGCGGGTTAGCGATTTCAAACTTAGATTTATAAGACCAAATTTCCTCACGATGTTTTCCTTCACCCTTCACGATGTTGTCAGTGGTGTCTAAATAGTCTTAGAAAGTACATATAACTTGGAAAAAGTCACATTGGTACTTGCCGTTCCGCCGTATACTCATGCATGAGAAGCGGGGCGTCTAAAACCTATTTATTAAAAAATCAATACAATGCATGTGGGAAGATATAAATTAACTCGTCGAGTACCGGTTTTGTAGACACAATTATAGAACAATAGGTTGCGGTCACCGGTGACCGCTTGGTGTTTGACAGTTTAATTACTTACTAATAAGGTAGAATTATTAGATGATATTTACTGGATTGAACTTTTGTATTGTTAAATTATAACCAACTAGCAGCCCGCCCCGGCTTCGCACGGGGTAGGTAGACAATTATTTACCTCTATTTTTGGAAATTTGGATTGTTGTAGTGACATAACTACAATGGTTCGGCATAATTATGCTACCGCCAAGTTTTTGTAGACATTATGATGTTCTTCAATATTGTTGTACATTATTTTGTTCTATCGCTAATAGTTTCGGCAGCGCTTTCGACGAAAGACATTTTAAGACTCATTTTTCTACACCTTCGGTTACATTGTTCAAATTTTACTAAGGATCCCTTATTTTTTTCAAAATGAAATGTAGCCTATGTCAAATTGGAAGAATGTAGCATTCTATTGGTGAAAGAATTGTTTAAATCGGCCCAGTACTTTTTGAGCCTATTCATTACAAACATACAAAAATAGGTACAAATCTTTCCTCTTTATAATATTAGTATAGATTGAAATGTATAATTGTCCTATGGGAACGAAATAAAGGATTATTTATTTATTATTGATGTGTAGATACAAACATATATACGTACAAATGTTCGCATTATAATTTACACCTGCGAATGATAAGAGATAAGATTTCGCACACTCGAATTAATCTTTGATTAATTAACACCTAGGTTTAATCACTCAGCTACTAACCATGGACAAGTTGATCGTGTTGCTGGCGATTGGATTCATTAGCGTTTCGGGTAAGGAACTTTCGTATTATTATTATCGTATTATTTTAAGGGGGGAAAGTCATTCGAGTCATAAGCAGAAGCTTACCTCTTCGGGGTTAAAAGTGTACATTATGCCACCGTACAATGTAACACCCACTTTTCACTATTAATGTTATGAGTTCCATATAATAAGGGTGAGCCTATTACCATATACCGGGCACAATTCCAGACTCCGTGCTACTATTGAGATTTTTTTTAAAAACCCAGTAGTACTTTGCCCCCTTGCCCGGCAGTCGCACATGCAACCACTCGGCCAACGAGGCAGTCAAGCAGACAGAGATATAGACATAAGAATAAAATGCACCACAGTCTAAGTACACCTGCAACATTAGAGGCACCACGAGTGGGTTGCTGACCGAGTAGGAAACTGCTTAGTTTCAAAACCATTAAAAAAACATAAACATAACATCACGCCTTTTATCCCTGAAGGGGTAGGCAGAGGTGCACATTACGGCACTTAATGCTACTGGACGATGTAACACCCACTTTTCACTATTTATGTTATGAGTCCCAAGTAATAGGGGGTGAGCCTATTGCCATATACCGGGCACAATTCCAGACTTCCGTGCTACTACTGAGAATTTTTTCAAAACCCAGTAGTATTTTGCCCGACCCGGGAATCGAACCCGAGACCCCTTGCCTGGCAGTTGCACTTGCGACCATTTGGCCAACGAGGAGATTTAAAAAAAGTGATGCAATGAAATTGTCGGT